CAAAGCAAAATGCAAAAGGCCCCATATTGTATGATTCCATTTCTATGAAATGTCCATAACATGCAAATCCATAGAGAGGGAAAGTACAATAGATTAGTGCTTGCCAGAGCTTTGGGGAGGGAAGAACAGGAAGCGACTGCTAATGGATGTGGGGTTTCTTTTTGGGGGTGATGAAACATTCAGAATTAGATAGTAGTAATTGTTGCAAAACCTGTGATATGCTAAAATTCTAATTACATACTTTAAAAGTGTGAATTTTATGATATGTTAATTATGTTTCAATTTAAAAAGTGAGGTGAAACTATAAAAAGGAGCTATGTGTACATGTGTACCAAAAAAGATATGACAGAAAAGCAATTAAGTTAACTTGCAAATCACTACCGGACACTGGTATTTACTTTCACAATGACAAATATGAAAACCATTGAATTTTATTGCCATAAATTGAACACCAACATAAAAAAGATTGAGAGAGAAAATTAATTTGATTTCCATGAAAAACGCCCAAGGATAAATATTTGCTTTCTTCCCACTATCTCAGCTGGTTGGAAGCTGAGCTCCCGAGAGCAGATACAAGAGCCTCTATGTTAGATTTACTAATGGCAAACAGACTCGAAAAAATTCAAGTCTACCTGAGCCTCAGATGCGCTGACTTGTAAATGATAAGTGAGTGGATTCTCTCCCGGCAAGCTGTCACTGCAGATGAGCACCCCACCTCGATAACAACAGTCACAGGACAGAACTTTCAATTACCAGCGTCTCAACCTTAGGAGCTGGATGAACATTTTCTATAAGGTTTCTCTTAGATTCCCTAAATGAATATGTGTGAGTCCAAATGACCAGTTTTCCCAAATAAGCACAGCTCACGTTAAGAATATTGAATCAGGGCTGGCCGAGTGGCTCAGTTGGTTAAGAGTGCGAGCTCTGAGCAACAGGGTCGCCGGTTAGATTCCCACCTGGGCCAGTGAGCTGTGCTAAAGCTGAGCTGCTGCTGAGTTGCCAACAGGTGGCAGGATGGCTCAGCAGGTGAGAGCATGTGCTCCTAACAAGGTTGCTGGTTCAACTCCCACATGGACTGGTGGGCCATGCCCACGTGCAACTAAGACTGAATATAGCACCTTAAGCTGAGTTGCCGCAAGGCCGATGGGTGGCTGGATGGCGACTGGACTTGGGAGCTGAGCTAGCTGTGCCCTCCACAACTAAGACTGAAGGACAACAACTTGGCTGTTCCCTTTCCCCAACTCCCCAACACTGTTCCCCTTCCCCAATACTGTATTGAATCACAAACAAACTTTATACACATACAATATAAAAGTGAAAATACAACACAATATTCTCGAGCTATGCCTGGAATATTTCAAGCACCCAATAAATATATGTTGAATGAAAGTTATGATGGCTAATAATGTTTACTAAATGATTAAGATTAAAAAATAAGGCAAATGCTAACAGCATTTCTAAATCAACTTACCTTAATAAATAAAAAGTTGTTTTTTTGGCTTTATTCTTAATGCAATACCATATCCTCACTGATATTCAAACTAACAAGTCAATGGTGATTAAGAAAGATAATTAGTCCATTATAAGTAGGAAGGATATTCTGATTAATTATAAAAGTTACTGCCCCCCCGCAATACACACACACACCCCTTATAAATCTGAAATAAAACAACTTCAGGATGATAAAACTGCAGTAATTTGTGAGGTGATTAGTTTCTCAAGCACCCTACAATTTATTTTAGTTAATAAACTAGGAAAGATATGTGAATATAGTTAAACAGTAAGTTGTCCACTCTCCACATTCTGTAACACTAAGATCCAAGCAAAACACAGTTTGCCTCACTGATCCATACTAGAGCTCAGCACGAAGGGAAATTCTTTCTAAAGCACGTCTTAAAGCATACTAATTTACTATGGCCAAGAAGGTCAGCAATTCATTTTACATTTTCCTTCTCTTAAGCCTCTTTTAAAAACAAGAAAATTATTTCTCAGTATCTAGCAACTATGGGTGTTTGAAATACTATGTAGGATCATCAGATGAATAAAAGACATAGAAAGTATCTTCAGAGATCACTTCTCCTCTTCCAGGACTCTTCTAAAAGACTCTAAGGATAAGATTCTACAATATGTAATAGACTGTCAGAAGTCTTCCTCAATCTCCCTTACAAGGGAGATTGTAAGGGAGACAAGTGTAAGCTCTTTCCTTCTATCATCAAAGACACACGAAGATGACATATGAGTATCACACTTTGTATCATCATCTTTTAGGGGTCTTTTTATTGGAAATCACGCTACTCAGCTCTCTTGTACCTACTCTCATTAACTCTTCCTTGATTTACTGACATCACAAAATAACATTTTTAAAGAAAATACAGTTATTTGGCCTCCGCATGGAAAGGACTTTCTAAGCATAAAAGCAATGAATCAAAAAGAAAAAGACTAATAGGTAGACAACATTAAACTATTTTAAATTCTATAAATCGAAAGCCATCATAAATTAAATGAAAAGGCAATTGTGGGGAAAATGCCCCCATCCGACAAGCAAGGGTTAATATCCTCACTCTATCAAGAGTTCACACAAATCGGTATCTGGCCGAGACAGTGCCCCCAGCATCCCCCTCCCCTTCCCTACATGAAATTGCAAGGTTCCTACAGAAGAAGAGGTTACAGCTTCTTTCTCCCAGCTTTCAGGGCCACTCTCGCCTCTTCTGCCTTGGTCCTCTGCCTTCTACCTGGATGCCTCTTTCCTCCAGGTCCTGGTAGACTGAAGATTCAGACACACGGTCAGCCTGGTCTTGATTTCAGATTTTCCCTAAGACCCAGCTTCTGAACACTGCTTCCTACATTGCTCTGTGGCCTGCAGGCAAGTTACAACTCGCCCCAGGCTTCAGGGATACTTGATTCCATTAACTCCAGCCAAAGGCCAGCATACCAGCTCCTGCCTGGGCTGGGAGTGGCAGAAATCAAACAACTGACAAGAAAAATCTAAGACTCCAATATAAAAACGATCATAGGCTTTATGTAGGTAATTCACAGAAAAGAAATAGCTAATAGGTAACAACAAGATATTTTAATGCTTAAACACAATAATGAAAGATGTGAGTTAAAATAAAGAGCTACTATTTTTAATCTGTGATATTAACAAATTTTTCTTTTAATGCTAACACGGGTGTCATAAAACTGATGGCAGAATAGTATGCTGGTATAATCTTTCTGAAGGTGGCAATATGTTTCAAGAGCATTCACAATGAGCCTGCCTGCCCTTTGCCTCTGTAATTTCATTTTTAGGAAGTGATCTTCAGTAATCAAAAATCTAGTCAAAAGATTTAAGTATGAAGAAGTTCATATCTACATTTTTGTACTTGAAATATAAATATCCAACAACAAGTATATAGCAAATAAATTATGGTTCATCCACAACGTGGATTATTATGGAGCCAATAAAAATGATACAGCATAAGCTGACCCTTCTATAGTACTAAGGACCATTTACTGTTCTAAGCAGTTAACATGTATTATTTTCTTTACTCCTCACAATAGCACGAATGGAACCTTTGAGTTGGTAGGTGCCAGTACCATCTCCATTTTACAGCTGAGGAATCGGAGGCACAGAGAAGTTAAGTGATTGGCTCAAGGTTACACTGGGACAAACTCAAAAGCCCTTATCCGAAATGCTAAAATCCAAAAGCTCTGAAAACCAAGTGTTCTCATAAACTTGTGGCAAACTCATTTGATGGCAAAACCTGACCTGAACTGATGTGAAACTATCCCGTGTAGACTGAAGTCATCTTACTAAAGAAAAATTAATGTGTTGGATTACGGGGTGCTGCCCTAGACCCCACTAGAAGTGATACATTATATACACCATGTTATCTTTCTATAACCTGAAAAATTCTGAAATTTAAAACACAACTAGCCCCATGGGTTTCAGATACAGAACTGTGGAACTGAAATTAAATCTAAGTGTCTGTCTGACTCTGGTAGCTGTGCTCTTAACCACTATATAATGCATTCAAAAGCTATTTAATGACACTGAAAAATGCTTATAATTCAAACATTCAAGTATTTTTTTAACTACATACTATGTACCAGACACACAAAGAAAAAAATTGCAATAATAACAAGTGCTACAAAAGAAAAATATCTGGTGTCAGGAGAGTGTATAAGGGGTTTGTCCTAGACAGAGAGGTCAAAGGACATTATGACCTGCCTTTACAGATGAGGAAACTGAGGTAGAGTGCTTAAATTACCTGTCCACACACCCAGTAAGGGCTGTCCTTATGCCATACTGTCGCCTGGTATGTGCATCCACTGTGGGCAAGAGACCTTAGTAAGTGCTGTAAGAAAGAGCTACCATTTAATGGGGTCCTACTATGTCCCAGGCTCTAGGAGATTAAAAAAGAAAGGAAAAATAAAACAAAACGCAATTTCAGAACTTTTTTCCCCAAATCACACTTACCCTATAGTAAGTTCGCTTTGAACTTCCAAAAAGGTCCAGGTCCCAAGATGGGGTGGAGGTGAGAGGTGTGGATGAACCAGGCAGCCAGGGACCACCCCAAACTTCGACCCCAGGAGGGGGACAGCAAGGCTTGGCTTGCTCCCTCAGCAGCTGAGGTGCCAGCCCGCCCGCAGCAGGAGGCCCAGCTGCCCGTTTGCCCGAGCGTTGCTGTAGCAACGGCCGCGTCCCGCTGCAGCCGGGACCCCTGCCCTCTCCCATGGAGACCCCTACGCCGCAACGCCGGAGTCACTTACCTTGGCCTCCGACGGCGCGCACACTTGGCGCTGGTGGTCGCCGAGCACGGAACGCACCACCTGGCGAAACTTTTAGGCCAGCGGAGCAGCCGCAGGAAGGTGGACGGGGGCCGCGCGGGGACAAAGAGCGGAGGCTGGAGCCAAGCTCCCTCTCCCCGCAGCGCGGCTGGCAAGGAGGCGTCCGCCGCACCATGGGGCCCATGTACCCTGGGTGCGCTCAAAGGCGTCCCTGACGTAAGCTCCTCTTAGGGAAAGACCTGAGAATCCTGTCCCAGGGACAGGGAAGCATCCATGTCACATGAAATTAAAACTTCATTACAGTGATATTACAGTGATGTCCAGGCCAATATTCCCCCTCCTCGTCCTACCGATTGGAGCTGGGGCTGCAAGGCTTGCACTGCAGTGGGTTCAGACCTGGACTAAAAAATGGGAAAATGGCCTGCACATCAGCGGTGAGGGTGGGCATAGGGGAGTGTTTGTTCCCATAAAGGGGCTGAGAAGACTCCTGACAGGCCATCTGACAATTCCTAGAAATATATTTTAGCCACAAACCTCTGTGGAGCCACATGAACGCATGCCCCATCCCCCACCCCCACTACCTCCACAGTAGAGGCTGGAATAGGGACTCCAGCTGTAAGCTAATGTATGTCTAGACCTGAACTGAACTAGGAATGGCTTCTGTGGACATGCGTCCTGCTCTCTGGCAGCTGTGAGGAAGAAATTTAACTCTCCTAATACGAGACTAATTTATTGGGTTGTCAGAAAAGTCATGACATTTTTTTCTATGTTTTTCAAAGGTCATTTATTTATATAAAGAACAAAGATCAATCAATGATATGTTGCCCATTTTGTTCGATAACCTTTTGCCATCTTTCAGTGAGCTTCATAATTCCTAGTTCATAGAAGGACCTGTCTTTATTTGCGAAAAGCTGAAGGTGCTGATTTACAGCCTCATCTGAATTGAATGTTATACCATGCAAGGAGTTTTGAAGAGAGGGAAGCAAGTGGAAGTCTGACGGCGCAAGGTCAGGCGAGTATGGTGGGTGTGGCAACACATCCCATCCCAGCTCCAGTCATTTTTGACGGGTGATCAAACTTGTGTGTGGTCTCGCGTTGTCACGATGGAACACAACTCCTTTACAATTAACAAGCTCTGGACATTTCTGGATGATGGATTCATTCAAACTGTCCAATTGCTGACAGTACACATTCGAATTGATTGTTTGGTTCCTTGGTGGGAGCTCGAGAAACATGACACCTTTAAAATCCCACCACACTGAGAGAATAACCTTCCTCTGATGAATGTCTGCTTTTGATGTCGTTTGAGGCGAATCATGATGTCAGGACCAAGACCGTTTGCGCACCACCTTGTTGTAAACAATCCACTTCTCATCACCAGTTATCAGTCGCTTCAAGAAAAGATAGTTTTCCTCATGTTTAATGAGCATATCGCAGATGTTTACATGCGCCGTCAAATGAACTTCTTTGAGTTCATGTGGAACCCAAATATCAAGCTTGTTTACATATCCCGTCTTCTTCAGGTGGTTGTGAACGCTTGAATGATGGATGTTCAATGTTTCTGCAAACTCTCGGGTCATGTAACATGGGTTTGACTCATTCAACGCCTTTATTTTGTCATCAAACTCAATGGGCCTCCCTAACCAAGGAGTGTCGTTGAGATCAAAATCACCAGCATGGAATTTCGTGAACCATAATTAGCACTGACGTTCTTGTAGAGCATTGTCACCATAAACTTTATGCAACTTTTCACAACTTGATGCACGTTCTTCCCTTTAGGGAAGTAAAACAGTCAAATATGGCGAAAATGCAGTTTTGACTTCCATCTTCAACTTGTAAAATCTACAAAACTCAACAAAATCACTCAATTTTTTTAAAAAATGAAGCTAGAACTGTCAGCTGTCAAATGACATAGCAATAACATAGATGCGAATGACTCTAGTACTTCTAGAAATGAACTAGCGCCATCTGTTGCAAAAATGCATCATGACTTTTCTGAAGACCCAATATTTGAGGCAGATGTCCTCTAAAATTTGATTGATAACCAATAACTTGGTATAGCAGATTGATTCATTTTATTGCTCAGAGGTAGGGGTGCATTTGGCAACTGGTTCATCCTGTCAGACGCATGGGAAAACTCAAAATGACCATGGTGGACAACTGGTAACTTCAAGTTTTCGCAAATTTTGCAAGCACAAATAATCCCCACCATGTCCTATAAAACTTTGGGGTCTTGGTCAGATTGTTTTGGAGAAATACAGAACTCTTGTCCAACAAGGGTCTGGAACAGCCTAGAAGAATTTTGTCTGTGCCCCTCCTCCTAATCCTGCCCCCATCCAAGTTAGTGCCACTGTGTCCAACAAAAGGAGATAAACTCTACCATCTGCTTCGTTGAACTGTGATGTGGATCTGCCCTAAAATAGCAGCTGTGAAGCTTTACGTTCCAGATCCTTACCAAGAAATAACTTTGCACTGTCCACTTCCTGAGGCCTATCCAAAGTCTGGCTGAGAAAAACTGCAGTTATGGAGAATTGTTTCAAAGGCACGCAGATGACCCCTCCTCTGCATGGTCTCTTGGTTAGTGAGGCCCAAACCTGGCTCCATATCAGAGGCATCTGGGGAGTTCTGTTTGGTTTTGCTTTATTTTGCCTTGACATACAGATACACAGGTTCCACTTCCAGGAATTCTGATTAAATAAATCCAATTTGAAATGAAACCATTTTTAAGAGGTTTTCAAGTGAGTTTGATACAAAGCCAGGTTGGGTCTATGTTTTATCCTGAATTAAGCCAGACCATCAAAAAGCTGTGTGTTCATACCACTTTGTCTTCACCGTTGCAAAATGGCCTGCACTGTCATGCTTTATCCTTATGCCATCCACTTATTTTAAGAGACGTTTTTTTAAAAATATACCTCTGCATGTACTAAAGGGATTATTTAAAGAATTATACTCATTATATCTGTGTAGTAGAATCCTATCAGATCGCCCAGCCCAGTGTTTTTCAAACTTTTGGATCATAATCCACCAAAAGAAATATGTTTTACATTATGACCCAGGTTACATATGTACCTATACATTTAATAAAAAGTTTTGTAAAATGTTATCTATACCACATGCTATGCACCCTGATACTTGTTATCTCTTTTTAATGCTGATTTCCCCATTTTAAATCATTTCTTAACGCCTAGATGAGTTACAAGTTGCATTTTAAAAAGCAGCAGTATAGTCAGAGGTCTTTTTCTGGAAACTAGTCCTGGATCCTCAGACAAGGTATCTAGGCCACCTGGTTACAAAGTCAATTGCTCTAGTAGTAGGTATCTTACTCAAACCAAGCCAATCACATCCCTCTCCCAGGAATTTGGAATTAGGACAGAGAGATTTCAGTTTTTCTCTAGGTAGCTAACATAGAACATCATAACTTAGTCAGGAGCTAGCTGTCCACAGACATGCTTTCTCACCATGTCGCCTGGAGAAATGCAGAAAACTGTGAAAAGAGTAGGAAGGGCGAAATAGATTCACAAAGAGAAGAGAGAACTCTTCTAGACCAAAAGAGTTCTGACAGCTTTCCATTCCTAATCAGAGTATTTCCGAAATGAGCTGCATTCCTGCCTGTGAATTCTATGTAATATTTCAAATCTTTACAATAAAGTGCCCTCTTTTGCTTAAGCTAGTTCAAGTGGCTGAGTTACTGTTGCTGCAACCAAATGAATCTAAGTATATTGGTTTCATATGGCTGTTGTAACAAATTACCATAAATTTGGTAATACAATCACTCTATGTCCGTTATAGGAAGGTCCATGCAAGAAATGTATTTCAGTTCTGAGTGCCAGAAAAAAAAGCCTTTTTCCTTTTGAAAAACTGACATCTCTTTTCCTTAAGAAAGAAAGCAAACCATAAAATGGAACACATTTCCCTACTCTCCTCGGCTTTCAGGAAGAAAGGAACCAAATTTGCAGCTCAACTTTAACAACGTTGTCCAACTCTATGTCTTGAATACAGGCGTTACAACTTTCTCCTGTTCTTTCTCTTCCATTTTCCCTCATTTCTACTTTTACCTTTTTTATTTTTTTCACTGTACAGACGGAATTATTTTAAGCTGCTTCAAATATTTTGCTCTTACTGTTTCCCCTGCCCATAAGGCTGTATGTACCCTTATACCTCCACAAGGCTGGTTACATCATTCGTATCCCAGCTCACTTGCTACCTCCTCAGAGAAGCCTTCCTTGATCACATGTCTAAAGCAGTCCCACCTCATAATCTATCACATTACCCTACTTTGTTGTCTCAGAGCACATTTAACACCATTTAAAACAATCTTGTTTAAACGACAGCAACTTGTCTGTTCCCCTTCCCCCAATTCCCCAGCACTGTTCCCATCTCCCCAATTCCCCAATAAAAATCTTTTTAAAAAAACAAACAATCTTGTTTGTTTTCTTTCTTCCCTCAACTTGAAGTCAAGCTTCAAGCTGATAAAGACCCAATCTCTTTGCTATTGCTTGTTCCCAGTGTCTGGGACAAGACCTGGCACTTAGAAGCTATTTAATCATTGTACACAGTGAGATATACTTGTAAATGGATAGAAAAATACGTAGGTAGACTGACAAATGGACAAATACTCATTTCTAGTGTGCAAATGTCACTAGCATTTGTAGAGAGGAATCAGAGAAACTACACAAAGAAATAAAACAACTCCCTAAAATATATACATAGAGGTGCTGGGTTTCTTGGGAAACCCTTGATGTAAAAACCTTTGACAAAAAATTTTTTTGAAGTTTTCAAGTGGCTCAAGACACCTACATTAAGTATTGTAGTTAGTTACCATAGCTGAAGCCAGCGTTTCTCAGTGAGATAACGGGTTGCATCACCATGACCACCAACTTGACACACTCTTGATATTGCCAAGGGAACTCAATCTATTGCAGGGGTTATTACCATACAACAATCTGCTTTCATCCTATTCCTGTACTTATTAATGTCACCATTGGCAGCCAAGTGTTATATGCTGTTGATTTAAACATGCTATGGTAACGTCATTGTTGTAATACATTATCAAGTTGCTTCACACTTAAGAAAGAGAGATCAGAAT